TCCATAGATGTTTATTATGGTTATGTCTTCATGATGGATCATCCCCTTAATCATTATATAGTGTTCTTCTTTGTATTTTATGGTGGGTTTTGTTTTAAAGTCTATTTTATTTGAGATTAGTATTGCCACTCCTGCTCTTTTTTGGTAGCTGTTTGCTTGATATATTTTTTCCATCTTTTGATTTTTAATAAATTCACATCTTTGTTTCTAAGGTGTGTCTCTTGTAGACAGCATATTGATGCATCCTGTTTTTTATCCATTCTGTCACTCTCCGTCTCTTTATGGGTACGTTTAGGCCATTTATATTCAGTGTAATTATTAATAGGTGTGAGTTTATTGCTGTCATTTTGTAGTGCTTCTTTTTGTGGTGCTGACGTTTTCTTTGTTCCTCTTACTCTTCTGTGCTGAATTCCTTTTGTTTGTGAAATTTTTTTTTTTTTTCTTTTGTTTTTATAGATTTTGTGTTTACTGAGACTTTGTGTTTTTCTTCTTTATTTTCATGAGTGGGTTTGTTAACTTTCTTTGTGATTACCTTGAAATTTACTCATATCTTCCTCGGTTTGAACCAGTCTATTATTACTTCGTATCGCCTTGCCTTCCTCTCCATTAGAAAGTTCTATACCTACACCATTTATTCCCTCTTTTATTGTTCTAATGTTGTTGGCTCTTACAGATTAACGTCTGTTGTTCCCTGTTGTAATTCTTTTGGTTTTGGATAGTCCTTGAGAGTTCATTTCCTAGGTTGTATCTAGCTGGTATGATCTTGTGTCCTTGATTCGGACTGTGGTTTGATGTTGTTTGTTCTCAGATCGAAGGACTCCCTTTAGTAATTCTTGTAAGTTTGGTTTGGTTTTCACATAGTCCCTTAATTTCTGTTTATCTGGAAATGTCCTAATTTCACCATCATATTTGAACGAGAGTTTTGTAGGATATATTATTCTTGGCTGGCAATTTTTTTTCTTTCAAGGGTTTATATATGTCATCCCATTGCCTTCTTGCTTGCATGGTTTCTGCTAAATAATCCGAGCTCAGTCTTATTGTTTCTTTTCTGTATGTGACTTTTTGTTTTTCTCGAGCTGCTGTTGGCATTCATTCTTGATCTTTGGTTTTAGTGAGTGTCATTATGATATGCCTTAGTAATTTTCTTTTGAGGTCTATCCTATATGGGATTCGTTGAGCTTCTTGGATTGTCACGTTTTCATATTTCATGGTGTAGGGGAAGTTTTCTGTCAGCAGTTCTTTGATGATCCTCTCTGTCTTTTCTGTTTTCTCCCCCCTGTTCTGGAACTCTGATTACTGGCAGATTTTTGCTTTTGATTGTATCCTATATCGTTCTCAGGATTTCTTCATTTTTCTTCGTTCTTTTCTCTGATTTTTCCTCAAAGTGGTATCCAAGGATTTGTCTTCAATTTCTCTGATCCTGTCTTCCATCATTTCAGACTTGCTCCTCAGCCCTTGTGTGACACTGTCTGTTTCTGAAATCTTGTTTATCTTTTGGATTTCTAATTGTTGTCTTTGTATGATTTTTAGCTGTGAATTTATTTTAGCATTTTGTTCCTGTATTATTTTCCTGAATTCTTCCATTCTTTTGTCTGTATTTTCCATGAATTTGGATGCCTTTTCCATGAATTTGTCTATTTTATCCTCATTTTTGTCTGCTTTTTGCTTCAACTCTTGGATAGCTCTGAATAGTAGAGATTTGAATTCCTATCAGGTACTTCTAGTGCCTTTTTTTCTACTGGAAAGTCATCTGGTGTTTTATTTTGGACGCATCCTGCAACCATCTTGTCCTGTTTTTTAATATGCTTTGATATTGTCTGCTGTCTTCCAGACATTCAGTATTTATTTTCCTCGTTTATTGATTGTAGATTTGTTTTATCCTGCTTTTTTATTTGGTTATGTCTGAGCAGGCAGGCCGTGCGTTGTTTGTTGTTTGCTCATCTGTGGGCACGATAGTTTTCCCCTCCTTGTCCAATGGGCAGGGTCAGTCACTCAGGTATGGTACAGCAGGGCAAGTCCAGCTGAAGGGGAGTTGCTGAGATGGGGTTTGTGGCACATACTAGGTCCGACAGGGCAGCCCTGCAATCAGGGCAGGGCAGGTTACGGTAGGCCGTGGCTGTGCTTCTTGGGGGTGTGATGCTCAGCGCACAGTGCAGGTAGGCAAGAAGGAAGGGGGAGATGGTGATGTGTGGAGCTAAGATGGGTAGGGGAAAGAGGAGCGAGAGGAGGAGGAAGAGGAGCCAAAAACATATAAACAAACTAACAAACAAAAAAGAGTGCTAAGGGAGCTTGCCATTGGAGTGGAAAGATGAGAGACAGAAATGGAGAAAAACAAAAAGGAAAAGGGTAAAATAAAAAAGTGAATAAGTAAAAATTAGAATAAAAAATAAAGAAAAGCAATGCCCCCAGAGATCCCACCAGTGCAGCTGTGAGGACTGGGAAAGTTGCTCCCAGGTCGTGAAATACAGTCTGGTTAGAAGGGATAGAGATGTCATACAGCTCCAGGTATTCAGGAGACAGTAAGAGAAGGTAAGTATAGAGATAAGAGAAACTGAGAAATGAAGAAAGTCAAAAAGGGAAAAAGCGAGAAAAGAAAAGAAAACAAACCAGAAAAACCCAAAAGGGTAACCGCCCCCCCAAAAAAAAAAAAACAAGAAAAAGGAAATGCTCCCAGGGATCCCACTGCGCATCTGCACAGACTGAGGGAGTAGCTCCAAAGCTGCGCATACTGCTCGGCTAGAAGGGGCTCCCAAGATGAGAAAACAAAAAGAAAACATATAGAAAGTCCTGGGGATCCCACCAGCCTGGCAGCATGGTCTGGGAAGCAGTTCTGCAGTCGAGTGGCATTTCACAGCCTTTCAGCTAGAAGCAAAGATGGTGCACAGAGCCAGGTAGTTGAGAGAAAGGAGATGGAGGTGGTGAGAGGTACGGGAGAAACCAAAAGAAGCGGAAAAAAGCAGCACCAACAACCAACAAATAGCATTCAGGGAGCTGGTCAGTGCGGGCGTGTGGAATCCAAGCGGCACAGGGGTGAAGCCAGTGCTTCCCAGCCAAGAGACTGTGGCCACAGGAAGCAGAGGAGGCCGAGTGGGGGTGAAAAAGGGTGGTGGGTGGGAAAGCGTATATCTCTGGTTACTGGTTGTTCTGTCTCTTGCTGGGAGGTCCTTGAAGCTGCTTTCCTGTACTCCCTGTTCGCTGATCTCCGACAGGAGTCCAAGATGACGGATCCATACTGCGTTAGCTGATGGGGACCCCTGCATGTATCTCTCCTCACTCTCTGTTGTCTGTCAGTTTCTTATTCCATTCAGTACTTGGCTGAGTTCTTTATCTCTTCATTTGAAGGTTAGGAATTCAGGATTGACGTTTGTGTCTGTTTGACTTAGTTTTTTGGACCTTTACTGTGGGTGGACGGCATGGTGCTTCTGTCTATAGTGCCATGTTACCTAGAAGTCCAGTCACTTTGAATTTTAACTTTCACTATTTATAAATTACTTTTGTAGTGAAGAATCAAGAAATAGCATATATTTATTTACTGGTATATATGCCCACCTGCAGGAGTTCAGAAAAACTTAGTATTAATGTGGTTCGTGGAATCACAGGAGATGTGCATCTACAGATAAACATAAATGATTTTTGGAAGTTTATCAAGAAAGACATAACTAATAGTCAGTTCCCATTATAATAACCTTCAATGGATTAAGAATTTATACTGGTTTTCATATTTTAGTCTTAATGATTAAAGGACTATTAGCAGGAGGGGATAGGTTTTGTTGTTGATATTATTATGGAACTATTTAGTATTCCTGGCTGTTATATTTTTTGAAAAATGAAATATTCAGCTGAATGTATCTATGTGTTAATTAGTTATATCTCTCTTTGTAAACCATATGGTTTTTTTTTATTAACAGTTTTAGTGTTTTTAAATTGATTTTTTCGTGTTCCTTACATAATGAGTTCTTTACTTTATTTGCTATAATCATATTTTCCAGTTTTGCATTTTGACTTTGTAAAATTTTATGTATAAACTTCCCAAAATTTTCATATTTTGGTTTAAAAATACCATTGAGGTATTTGAACTAATGATAAATTCTTACTGGGTTGTATTTATTTTATCTTTGCATTTTTCAGAACTCCTATTAAATCTGGTAGGATTTATCTATTTATACAGTTATATAATTTGTAAATAATGATATTTTTGTCTCTTCTTTTTCCATACTTGTTATTACTGAATTATATTTTAATGCTCTTAGCCTGTTAGTGCTGCTATAAAAAAAAAAAAAAATACCAAAAGCAGGTGGCTTTAATGAACAGAAATTTATTTTCTGACAGTTCATGAAAGTAGAAGTCTGAATTCAGGGTGCTGGCTCTAGGGAAAGGTGCTCTCTGTCTGGTCTGGGGGAAAATCCTTGTCTCAGCTTTTCTTGGCATTCATTGGAGATCTCTGTGTGGCATCTGTCTTTCCCCCTCTGCTTCCTTGCTTCTGTGCTTAATCTTCTCTTTTTATATCTGAAACGTGATTGGTTTGACACACCCTATACTGATAAGGCCTCATTAACATAAAAAAGAAAATCCTATTGCCAACTGGGATTACATCCACAAGTAAAGGGTTTAGGACTTACAACACATGTTTTTGGAGGACACAGTTCAATCCATAACAAAGGCTTTGATGAGAATTTCTAGAACAATGTAAAAATTGATAATCCTTATTTTGTTTCTAAATTTTTTTTTTTTTTTTTTTACAGAATTCTTCTCGCGTTTCACTATCAAGTATAATGCTGGATATTATTTTAAAGTAGTTATTCTCTTACCCAGTTAGGAAGACATTTCTACAAACACATACCCACTTTTTGATTAGTTAAAAAAAATAACAGGTATAAAAGCTTTTGAAGTAGTATCATCTTTAGAGAGAGAGTTAATTAATAAAGTTAATTGGCATGATTAGGCATTTTTTGTTTTGTTTTTTAAGCAAGTTACTGATTCACTGTCTTATATCCTTTCAGGTACATACCTATGTCAACACTACAGGTGTGCAAGAAGAACGGAAAAACCGAACAAGTGTGCATGTCCCATTGGAGGCAAGGGTTTCTAATGCTGAAAGCAACATGCCAAAAGAGGAACCAAGTAGTATTGAGGACAGAGACCCTCAGATTCTTCTTGAGCCCGAAGGAGTCAAATTTGTTTTAGGACCAACTCCTGTTCAAAAGCAATTAATGGAAAAAGAGAAACTGGAGCAACTTGGAAGAGACCAAGTTAGTGGAAGTGGAGCAAATAACACAGAATGGGACACTGGATATGACAGTGACGAGCGAAGAGATGCACCCACTGTTAACAAACTAGTGTATGAAAACATAAATGGGCTATCTATTCCTAGTGCCTCAGGGGTCAGGAGAGGTCGTCTGACGTCCACCAGTACCTCAGATACCCAGAATATCAACAACTCAGCTCAGAGAAGAACTGCATTGTTAAACTATGAAAATTTACCATCTTTGCCTCCTGTTTGGGAAGCCCGCAAGCTAAGTAGGGATGAAGATGACAATTTAGGACCAAAGACTCCATCTCTAAATGGCTACCATAATAATCTAGATCCAATGCATAACTATGTAAATACAGAGAATGTAACAGTGCCAGCAAGTGCTCACAAAATAGAATATTCAAGGCGTCGGGACTGTACACCGACAGTCTTTAACTTCGATATCAGACGCCCAAGTTTAGAACACAGGCAGCTCAATTACATACAGGTTGACTTGGAAGGTGGCAGTGACTCTGACAACCCTCAGACTCCAAAAACGCCTACCACTCCCCTTCCACAAACCCCTACCAGGCGCACAGAGTTGTATGCTGTGATAGACATCGAGAGAACTGCTGCTATGTCAAATTTGCAGAAAGCACTGCCACGAGATGATGGTACATCTAGGAAAACTAGACATAATAGTACTGATCTGCCAATGTGAGCCTGGAGAGCATTACGTTGTTTGCACCTTTGTGAAGTTTTTAAAAATGAAGATGCAAGTGCTTCATTTTCATTCCTAAACACTACTTTTATAGACTGATAAAATTTTTATCTTAATATTTCATGTGCTTCTTTAACTAAAGGGAATTAATGTAGAGCAGGTACTCATTAAAGAACACTAATTTCATTATATACTACTCATTATTGTACAGCAGCATTCCCATTTTCACAGTGCCTATTTAAAACAAGAGTTGAAGTGAGTGACATGCTGGTTGATTTTTATCAATATTCTGGACTTACGTATATCATTCATGTCTAAGTCATGGTTGGCATTTAAAACATTTTATAAAGCCTCTTGATAATGTACATTGCTAACAGATAACTCTAGGCTTTGAAAGTAATATTTGTAGATACACTATTCACAGTATGTGGCCTCCAGTATATAATATGAGGAATCTTTTATTTTGTTAATTAACGGCTTTTTTACTTGAGCCAAAACATATGTAAAGGAAATATAAGTACCGCACCTCCTTATATACCCAGTCAGCTCCTTTGCCTTCAGTGTTAGTAGAAAGAGTCCTGTGTCCATGAATATGGTTTGCTGTTGGTGTGTTAGAAAGGCAGGAAGGAGAAAAAATTTTCTGTTTACTCATCTCATGATGTCATTTGAAGGGCATGCCCAGGTATCTTAATCAGAATCATGATAGGCTCAAGAGTCAGTCTCAGGTCACTTTACCCAAAAACATTTGAAAAGATGAACCATGATCTCTTGAAAATTTCTCTCCTGTAGATTATTAACATTAACATTGTTTTCTGGAGGTTATTTGTGCCATTAGGTTTCCATTTACCTTCAGTTTTTTCTTTGGTGTTTGGGATGTCTTATTTTGTCGCTTAAATGTCTTTTTCAATTTAAAATGTCTAAGTTTGTATATAGTTTTGAGATTGGAGTATATGTTCATTGTTTGGTTTGCGTTTTGTCAAATTATGATTTTGAAGGTTCATTTGGAACTTACTGCCATTCTATAACAGGGTTGCCCTTTTCCAGTATTTATTTATATGCTGTTTACTTTGGTTTCAAGTTGATAAAAACATTTTCTCAATTTTTAATTTCACTTGTGTCCATAGGTGATCTCTTTAGCAGCTGAGAAAAAAAGAAAGATACTTTTAACATGCAAAGTTCCCTAAAGGTACTGTGTTTCCTTTGTGGGCACACTCCCCAGCACTTTAGCAGTGATTCACTCAGTTACGTGGCTGCAGTTGTCCTCTGCCCGCTGTAGTGTTCCTCAGCTCTGCTGTGCTTTCACTCATCGCTGGGCCTTTGATTATCTCTTGATTTCAATAGAATGTTAATATTGTTGCCAGCATAACAGGTACAGTGAAAGTCTTGTAGCAGTGAGACCGTGTCATACTTAAGGATTTAGAATGAATTGAAGTTTATATGAACTAAGGAGAGTCCATATGTGAAATTCTTGGAAAATCAAGAAAGTTCCGCTTTCCTAAACACTAGATAATATAAGACAAGGGTGAGTGGAGAGAAGGTTGGGTTACCTTACAAAATATTTTACTGTTTTCTCTAAATATGAGGAAGTTTGAGATGTGTTCTGGATCTACCAGATGTAACTAAGAGTAATTTAGCAAGAAAAAGTTTCAGTCAAATAGCATCCAATCTATGTAAGAATGGATTAGCAGAACAATAGACTGGGACCATTATAAAGAAAATAAATCATTAAAAGTGTCTTCATCATTTTCATTGCCATTGGTTTATGTGCATAGCAGACTTACTTTCTTTTTTCCTGTGACATTGGTGCTTACTAAAGTATTCGCTGTTCTTCAAAAAGGAGGTCAGTGGTATAGGTGTGCAGCTTCCATTTTTAATATTTTGTTCCATTTATGCGTTCTTCTGAATAGAATGCTAATTGTGCCAAATTTATGTGATAGTTTTGTAATGTGGAATAAGAATTACAATGGAATGAATGCTCATGGTTTTCTGAGAACAGACAGTCAAGACAGAACACTAACCTCCAAATGAAAGAGCTGATCTACTTATTCATTTTTGGGGGTTGGATACTTTTTTATCTTTCTTATCCTTTTCATCTTTTCCTCCAGCTTCTAATTAGTTTTTATATTTTTTTAGGTAACTCCGATATAATCATTACAATTTATGCTTTAAATACTATGTGCTTTAAAAATGAGAATGGGACCAATTTGTCTGCTAAGAATTTGATTTTAGGTACTGTATGAGTGTTAGGAAGATACATACAACTGGTGTTAATTTCTAAATGTCTTCTGGAAATCACCTGTGTTCCTATTTAATAAAAAGTAATTTAGAACACTATTTGTCCCTTGAAGTAGTCTAGTACTGGGCATTAAGCTCTTTCCTGGAAGAATGCTCCTATTACTAGGTGCATTTTAGAATGAGATATTTTGTTGGCATATAATGAATTGTGGCTATTATGTCCTAGGTTTTCTGAGACAAACCTAATTTTAGATCTTCTATTCTGTTAACAGACTATGTGATCCCACTTTTAGGTTCTGAAAATATAATCATTGATCATATATTTTTCCCCAAATAGAATCCTCTTTTGTCAGTGTAGATCATGATGGCATTCATCCCAGACCAAGGTTGGAAACTGATGTTGGTGTTACCTGTGTTTTTTCTTAAGTGTTTTTATTTCACTGTTTCATCTTCCTTTAAAAATGAAAATATGGTGCCTTCCCTCCCTCCAGGAAGATTGGCAAATAGTTCCCTTTATTTACTGCTGCTGTGGGGTGATAAGATAAGCACTTTACTCTTGAAGACTCAGCAAAAAGCTTTTCACTTCCCAGGATATCCAGAATAGATCACATTTGGGATTTATGAAAATTTGCCAAGCAATCTTTGTTTTTATACATAGTAATGTTGACCCCACAGTTCAATGTTATAAGAATAAGCTAGTGTTTGTTTATCCCCCCCCAAAAAAAAACCCTGTGGCAAAGCTTATAAAAATGTACCTCAATAATGTTCTATTAAAAATGGGACAGGGGCCTTATGTTTTAATAATTTCCCAGCAATGTGCCACCATATTTTTGCCTCAAGGTAAAGGTTTTTGCAAGCTAAAAAGTACTTTCCACTTTCCCCCGTGCTGTCCATTCTAACCCATGATGCCCTAGTGTTTTGTGCAATGTGTAGTGTGTATGTATATGTACACGTATGTGTATGTATATGTATATACATGTGTATGTGTGTGTATATATATATCCTTGAAATAGACATACTATCAGAAACATCATACAGAAGTAACTGATGTATTGCCATCTCATTCATATTTCTGATATGTGAGGTATATGGTACTAATTACCTTTTCCCTTACATTTGCCAAATTTGAGTAAGGGCATTGGTACGAAATACAGAATGTATAGAGATGTTTTTGGCTTGAAAAATTAACAAATCTTTTATGACATACCACAGTATACTCTGCCCGAACCAGCACCCTTTTGATCTTTCCTGTTCTTTGCATCCCTTTTCCCCATCCCTACTTCCTCATTTTTTTGGGGTATGACACAATTCTTTTGTAGCATCATTACAATTGCAGTTCTATAACAATTGGACAATTATAGCATGGAGACAGACTGGTATTAATAGTACAGTAGTCACCAGTGTGCCACATTTGCATTAGTAAATGCAAAGCATACATTTTATAAAGGACAAATTTTGTGTTATGTTTTTATTTCCATTACATTGTATAATATTGTAAGATTATTATATGTCCTAATCTGCATTATAAATGTTTTTTTTTTTTTTCCTACATAAAGGCATAAATATAGCAACTTTGTATAAAGGTAGCTTATTAGATTTTTAATTTTTTCTTATATAAGAAGTTGTCTAACAGTGGGACTACCATTGCCAAATTGTATATGAAATATGAAATTTACCCCTATGATTAATTTCTTTTATAAACATTCCATATTTCTCTGATAAAAGACGTGATACTGTACTATGTATAAATTGTATTTTTAATGCTGTTTCATATCAGCATTTTAAATTTTGATTTGCATTTTTAATATTGGCAAAACTTTTAATTACCACTGTTAATTAAAATAAAACCTTGTTGTATATGTAACAACATCATTTGCCCTCTATCCCTTTCCACTCTTTGTTCTTATTTCTCCCTACCAGTGCCAACTTCATACATTTTGTAGCATGGCAATAAAATATACCTTTTACACTGAGGCCAAGTGTGGCTTTTTGGAGGAAGTGGGGATGGGAAGATTGCCCTCTAGTTCTTTGCATATGTCTCCTTTTGCCAGATTAGCCGTGTCTCCAGAGATTATCTCATATATAAACATGCTTTTAAGGACAAGTATGAATGTGCTTTTAAGCTTAATTTTTGTCATAACAAATAAGAATAATTTTTTATCTTTGGAAAAGTCAGAGTTCTTGAAGTACAATCAAACCTTTATTAACTGGAGTACTTAAAGAATAAGCTAATAATTGAATTAAGTTAAACAAGGGCTAAGCAACACATTTTTTAAATCCTTATTTATTGTAGAGTATTAATGTACTTTACTGACTGCCCTAAAAATTATAATCTGTAAATTACAGTTTAATCTTCAACAATTTAGGATCTTGCAATGCCTTACTTTTGTCATTCTGGCATAAATTTCCATGATGAGGTACTCAAGTTGATACTGGAAACAGCTGACGATACACTGACCTTAAGCATTCATGAAAAACTGTTTTGCTGAATAAAATCTGATCAGAGTTCTTCTTATGGTTATTTTACCCTTATTACTGAAAGTAGATTGCAATAAAACCCCAATAAAAGTTTGGTTGGATACCTATTAAAAGTTTTATTGTTTTTATATTCCTCATATTTCTTGAGACTTTATGATAGAGGTTTTATTTCTTAGTCTCATATCACTGCCTCAGTTTTCAAAGTGAACATATAATGAGTTAAGGATTATATCTTTCATCAAAGTGTAATGAAATTATATTTGACATAGCCTCTCACAATTTTATCAGCATGGTCATTCAGACTAGTAGTTCTCAGCTTTGGGATTCCAAACCTGGTTTTAGTCTCTGGGTGACAGTGCGCAGCCTAGTTAGGCACAGCTCAAGATGGAGATAATTTAAAAATGAAAGGGATAGCCAAGTCCACAAGTGATTGGATGCTTACTATGTGCCAGACTATGGCACACAGAAATCGGTTAAGATGTGGTGCAGAGACCGCATCTTGAAAAATGTGGGCATTTGTACTCTGATATGAAAAACTTTGCATTAGTTCTGTGTTTGTAATTTGAGCTCCTTTGAGGGCAGTATCTATTCACGTGTTTTTTAATCTAACAAATAAGCATGAACTAGGCCCTATGCTAGTAGTAACAGATCGCAGTCCTTGTCCTTGAAAGAATTTAGTCTAGAACAGCCCTTCTCAATGGGGGTGGGGGTGGGGGGCAAGCTCCTCCCTCCCCTGGAGAATTAAGCCCTAAGGTATCCATTGTATATAATGAATTAACTTCTCTCTGATGCCTTCAGAATGATACTAGCTATTTACCTTAGGAGAATTGACAAAAGAATCACTCAAATTCTTTAAAAAAAAAAAAAAAAAAACTTGCTATCAAGTCGATTCTGACTTATAGCGACCCTATAGGACAGAGTAGAACTGCCCCATAGGTTTCCAAGGACTGGCTGGTGGATTCGGACTGCTGACCTTTTGGTTAGCAGCCAAGCTTAGCCGCCAAGCTCTTAACCACTGTGCCACCAGGACTCCCAAATTCTTAAGAGATGTGATAAAGACGCAAGCAAAGGAAGAGCATCTTACCATGGCAGTGGAGGTTTTCAAGGAAAACTTGGAAGAAGTAATCCCTAAGGCGTTTTGAAGAGAGCCTTCCTGGTTAGACGAGGCGGGGAGAGAATGTCTTAATGGAGAAGGAACAGCATTGCAAAGAGGTATAGAAAGATCACAGTGTTCAATGGTGGCAAGTGGTTTCATACGACGAGCATAGGGTGCAAAGGCATGTTGTAGGGGAAAAGCATCACAAAATTGAGTAAAGCAAAAACAAAGTTTTATTCGGCATATATTCAAAAGGGCAGAAGTGGGAAGCGGACAACCATGCTGCTAGAGCCATGTCTCCCCAAGTCCAAAGAATATTACAGAATAGGCAAGAATGGGAAAATGGACAGGCATGCTGCCATAGTCATGTCTGCCCAAGTCCAAAGAATATTACAGAATAGGCAACAGTGGGAAAACAGACAAGCATGCTGACACAGCCATGTCTGCCCAAGTCCGAAGACCAGTCACAGAGCCATCAGTATATATTCACATTACACATGGGCAAAACCATTGAAAGCTTAGCCTTTTCAGATGGGCTAGAAACTGTAATCCTACATTTTGAATTGTCTTTCTTAACAATCGTTGGTACAGGTTTCAGTAACGACAGTCAGGAGGGTCTTCATTGGTCCAACAAATTTCTATTCACTAAATGCTAATAGAAAAAGATGAGTGGAAAGTCTTTTGTGTTCTGTTTGATTGGCTTCATGTGAAAGTTTCCCTAAAAGATATTTTCCAAGATTATCTTAGCTATTGTCTTTATACCTCAGGGCCCAGTTGATGCGTCCTTGTGAGTCCTTGTGAGCCCAGCTCCAGATGGGTCACATTCTCTACGCTCAAGGAGAGGGAATAATAACTCCAATATTATTTCCTAAATCAGGCAGGATGGGAAAATAAGAAAGGAGAAATGAGAGCGGCACATCACATAAATCTAGAATGCTAAGGAGTTTTTATTTTAACCTAAACAACGTGAGAGAACTTGAAGGATTATAAACAGTGGAGAAATAGTTCAACAACATTACTCTGACATCAACATGGAGGATATATTGGAGGGGATGGCATTTTAATAAAGCAGGGAGATTAGGAAGCTCCCTCAGAAACAGAGACAAGGCCAGATAAATGCCTATTCAAAGGCATTCTTAAAGGGAGTGTTCAGATTATTTATTACTATGCAACAGACCACCCTACAACTTAGTGGCTTAAAACAACTATTATTATTATTATTATTATTTTTCACGTTGCTGTAGATCAAGAATTTGGGCAAGGCACAGCAGAAATGGCTCATTCCACATTGTGTCTGTGCGACTAGAACATCCAAAGTGGCTTCTTCACTCAGATGTCTTCTGCCTTAGCTAGGATAGTTCAAACAGTGGGGGCGGGCTGGAGCAGCTCAACTGGGGTCATGTCTGGAACGTGACTTCCAGTTGGCAGCAGGCTCCTTGGTTTTCTTCCATGTAGTCTTTTTTTTTTAATATTTTATTGAGTTTTTGGTGAAAGTTTACACAGCAAATTAGATTCCCATTTGACAATTTCCACACAAGTTGTTCAGTGACATTTATCACAAATTGATATCAACACAAATTTATCGCAATGTGTCAGCTTTCTCTTTAATTATGTTCAGTTTGTTCCCTTTCCAGTACTCTAGTTTCCCTGCCTCTTATCTTCTCATCTTTGCTTTTGAGTAATTCTTGACCTTTTGGTCTAATACTGATGGCTTTTAAGTACCATGTAGTGTTAGGGTCTGTCTCCATGTGGGCTTGCATGGCAGCTTAGAGTTCCCAAGAGCACAAAAGCAGAAGCTGCTAGAGTTTCTTGAAACCTAAGCCCAGAATTGGCGTACAAGTTGTCCCTCAGTATCCACAAGGGATTAATTCCAGGACTCCTCACAGATACCAAAAATCTTGGATGCTTGACTATTTGCATATAACCTGTGCATAACCTCCTGTATACTTTAAATCATCTCTAGGTTACTTATAATACCTAATACAATGTAAATGCTATGTAAATCGTTGTTAAACTGTATTGTTTAGGGAATAGTGACAAGAAAAAAAGCCTTTCTCTCCCTTGAATATTTTCGATCCACAGTTGATTGAATCAGCAGATGCGGAACCCACGGATACAGAGGGCCGACTGGAATATCAATTCTGCTGCTTTTTATTAAATTATGGACTTCAGATTCAGGGGCAGGGTATTAAACAAAGACTTGAACTTCAGAGATGTAGTTTATTCAGGGTTATCAACGTAACAGAGTGCCTCAGGAGAAATCAACACCTCTAATGAGGGGAATAACAGAAACGGAAGAGTCAGCGATGACCCCTAGTTTTATAGCTTGGGTGATGGTGCCAGTTCATTGAGATAAAAAAATATGAGGAGGATGGATGTTGATTTGAAGAGAAAGATATGGGTTCCACCGGGAGCTTAGTTCATGGTCTGTGGGCCATCCCCGGGATGTCCAGTAGGTTGTCGGATAGATGGTTTCTGCATTTCTACCAGGAACAATTTTCCCAGTAACAGAGCTGAGCAATTTTTTTTGAAGACATTATAAAAGGCAGCTCTTCAGAGTACGCTATTTTATCATGACATTTCCCACAACTGAACAAAGCTCCGTTCAAATTAGCCAGGCCCAAAGTACGGAAAGGAAAACTGTACTTCTACCTCACCTACCTCTTATCTGACCCTCCCTATCTCCCATGCTGATATTCACGCTTCCTGTGCATAGCCAATGTAATGCTTAATATGTGTCGGGCACTGTTCATGTATTAACCCTTTTTAACCTTCAGACAGCCATACAAGATAGTTACTATTGTTGTCTCCATTTTATAAAAAAATGAAACAGAATGATTAAGTAACTTGCTCCAGGTCCTACAGTAATTAAGAACCAGGGTTCTGAACCTAGGCACTCTGGCTACAGGGCTCATGTTCTTAAAACACAGTTGTTTCTTATTCTACCCACTTAAGTACTAAGGAGGCTTTATCCACCTCTTGGACCTGTAATTTTGCTTTCCCTTTGGGTAATTCTTTTGCAGGATGCAATTACTATTTTTAGTCCCATCTCATTCCTGAGATAACTCCCTAGGGTCCCTGGGTGGTACAAATGGTTTGCAATCAGCTGCTAACCTAAAAGTTGGTGGTTTGAACCTACCCAGCAGTGCTGTGGAAGAAATGACTGGTGATCTGCTTCCATAAAGATTACAGCCAGGAAAACCCTATGGAGCAGGCTCTGTCACATAGAGTTGACATGAGTCAGAACTGACTTGATGGCAATGAGTTTTTGTTTTGTTTTAATTATAATCTTTGTTTCTATCTTCATTCCTGAGATAACTTCCCAATCAATACCAAAACTGCTTTTTACCTATTTCCTGATTCAGGAATACTGGTGACGTACAAAGGCCTAGAGTGGTGCTACACACAGTGTGGTCTGTAGACTGGTTCTGGTCTGCAGATGCACCAGTCTGCAATGAGATCAATACAGAAATTAAGAGTGTTTAGAAACTTACAGCAATTTGACACTGCTAGAACATCCATGCCTGTGATCTTGTATTTTCCAAAAGCGTTGGTCCGAGAAAGATGAGAATTTTAAAAAATCAGTTCTTCACCACAGATGTTTGAGAAGCAATGGCCTAGAGTTCCTGAAGGACTACGACTTGCATGACATCTAAGTCCAGAGCTGAGGAGCCATCTGGTCAGTACATACAGGTTTGTAGAATGCACAGTATCCCAAGGACAGACTCCTAGGAAACACCTATGATTTTAAAGGGCTTGAAGGATTACCTGCCACAGTACTGTGCACACAGTAAATAAATGGTCGCTAATAGAACACTTGGGAAAAAACAATTTTTTTACTCTCTCCCCGCAAATCAAGCATTTGAGTATAACCTCAAATGCCCTACCAGACCTAATACCTCCTTTTTTATAACCAATGTTTTATAAACCACCATCACTGTCTTGAAATGAAATCCATTGATGATATAACCTACCTACATATGTGTAAATTTCAAAAATAATACAATGCGCTGTAATATAAAAAAAAAAAGCAAGGTAGTTTATAATGAAAGTGTAGGTAGTCGTCTTCAAGGATTTACTTACTAAAATGCACAGAAAACAAGGAAGTGGTTGGATGCTTGCACTTCTACATGGAATCAGCATTAATATGACAGTTTCAAATGCATACCATAAAGGTGTAACTAAAATACCACAGTTTGCCTTCAGAGATACGATTTTCCCCCATTTCTCAGTAAAGTTCTCTCAGTAATAAAATACAATCTGTCTTCAGTTTACACAGTAGTTACATGCCTGCAAAATTTGTATTATATATTAAAACATTTTTTTAAAAAGCCCTATGTATATGTAAAACAGATTTAGGTTCTAAGCTCATTACATTACGAACAGATTTTTCACTTACGTGAAACCTGTGTAGAACCTCCAAAAGTCATAGGATGTAGGAAAAACTGTTGTGAGGGACTGCCTCATACACTGCAGATTGTCTAGGATCCCTGGTCCCCATCCAACAAATCCCGTTCTGATGACCTAAAAGGGCACCATCTATTTTTTAAAACTTTTCTCCTTATCCTGCCCCCCCACCCCCCAACCAGGGGTCAGTATCACCCCCAACGAGACCCACTGGATCCAGAGGCTATCTGAAATTAAAAAAAAAAAAAAAAAGCAACTACATAATCTAAAGCAATTTATTGCTTGGATACTGGTAAATTTTTTTAATAGAAACTTAGAATTTTGAATTGTGTAG